GGGGGGAGAGAGCTCCCTCGGCGAGCGCCGTCCCATCGAGGGACACCCCAAGCGCCATCATGTGTAGGGGAAGCGCGTGCCTCATCAGCGGTGCCACTCTACGCGTATGGTAGGCGCCGATGATCCCTGATCCCTTCATGCCCCTCTCCTTCAGGATTCGGATGGTGGCGAGATGGTCGTGGATTTTCTTCTTGTCTTTATCCAGGAACCCCCACTTCCTCCATGATTCTAGGACCTCTTCCATGAGGCACCCGGTGAACGCTGGCAAGGGGGCGGCAGTGTCGTCCTTGACATACAACCAATGCGAATGCCACCTCTTATTGGAGGCCGACAGACGCATCAACGGGTATTCGTTTACCCGGTTGTTGCGGAGCTGAATGCCGGCACATCCCATCGGCACGCTCAGCTCTTGCCTCTTCTCCCGCTTCTTCAGGAGGGTGACGGCAAAGAAATACTGCCACAGGTCGAAGTGGGGACTAATCCCCAGGAACCCCTGACATAGGGCGACGAACGCCGCAATATGCTGGATCCCATTGGGAGTAAGGTGCTGCAGCTCCACCTTGTAGTAATGCAGCAACCCCCGAAGGAACTTATGGGCGGGGGTGGTGAATCCCCACTTGTGGAAGTGAGCGAAGGACACAACGTAGCCTTCGGGAGGCGACAACGCGTCCTCATTGTCGGGCAGCCGCCACTCCTCGACGGCGGTCTGCACGCAAAGAAGGCCACGATGGACGAGGCCCTCCACGCGCTGGAGGGTGACATCGGATCTGCACCACGGCTCCATTAAACGATTGGGGTGGATGGATGCGAACTTGACGGCGGCTGAGATGCGGATGCGGGAGGCTTAGGTGATTGGCGGTGAAGGTTGTAGATGCAAAGGTAAGGAGCCAATGTACGAAACCCTGGGGGTGAACCCTTTGGTTTTATAGGGGCGACGGATGTGAGGAAGGCAACCGTCCGCCTAGATCTCCGCGTCTGCCACGATTCGCCTGGATGGATCCCCACAGACGGGATACTAGGATCCAAGTTGAGCTATCCGGCTAGACAACCACCGAACCTCACAGCCATACCCGCGAAGGGTCCGAATCACCCCAAGGCGATTCTATCCGAATCACCCGGGGGCTAGGGGGCTACACCCGACGAGTGCGCTCGCGCGCACCCTCTGGCAAGATGAATCACCCCCAGGTGATTCTTTCTGAATCACCCGGGGGCTCAGGGGATACACCCGTCGGGTGCGCTCGCGCGCACCCTCTAGCGAGTCAAATCACCCCTGGGCGATTCTATCCGAATCACCTGGGGGCTACTGTCGGGGATCAAATACTGGGATACCCAAAGAGGTGGAGCTAATAACCATCAAACGTTAATGCTCCTGAACAGACAAGAGCGTGACTACACCTCTTGCCTAAACGACCAAGGGCAGACTCCGCCTTGCCCAACATCAGGAGGCTGGCTTCGCCTCGCCCGACGTCTGAGGGCAGACTTCGCCTCGCCCGACGTCCGGGGGTTCGCTCCGCCTCTACCGACGTCCGAGAGCAGACAACGCCTCGCCCGACGTCTGAGGGCAGACTCCGCCTAACCCAACGTCCAGGGGGTTGGCTCTGCCTCGCCCGACGTCTGAGGGTAGGCCCCGCCTCGCCCGACGTCTCGAGGCAGCCTCCACCTCACCCGACGTCCAGGGACTGGCTTTGCCTCGCCCGACGTCTGAGAGCAGCCTCCACCTTGCTCGACATCCAGGGGCTGGCTCCGCCTCGCCCGACGTCCGAGAGCAAGCTCCGCCTCGCCCGACGTCCGGGGGCTGGCTCCGCCTCACCCGACGTATGTGCGTTGCTCCTTCATAACTACGCGCGCAGATAAGGCAGGGCGCTCAAGTCAACCGCAATACTAAGGACCATACCCTGCACGCCTGCAGGATAGTACCATCAGGATATGACCCGACGGGCGCTTTAAGCCCTTCTAGGCATGTCAGAGCCCAAACAGTGTTGTGGGTGGCGACATTTGTCCTATAGTATTATGGGCGCTGGCATTTGCCCTCGGACACGAATCCTGATGGAAACATACGACAACCACTACGGTCCAGGAGGAAACTCATGTCATCTACTGTAACGAATGTGGGGCCTCTACGCCGTTGGTTCCCCGTAGGGTCACGGCTCGGCACCCTGGTGCGTCGCGTCGCCCGCCGGGGCGGGATGGGATGTGACCACTTGCTGAACGAAGCCAGAGCACGGCCCTATCAGGATCAGCGAAAGTGCTATCCCTGGCACTGTCTGTCATGTCAGCGGGGCTGGCTCAGAGGAAAAGGAAGACCCGGCATCTTTGAAGGACCTTCTTGGCCTTTGGTTCTTCTTCTTTCTCCCATTTTGTAATCCCTGCTCCCCCTTATCTATAAAAGGGAAGGTAGGGCACCTCACTAAGGGGATCGATCAATTACACACACATCACACCGCCTAACATATAGCTGAGCAGCAACCGAGCCCTCAGCGCCCGTTCGATCTTTCCATCAGAGACTTGGGACCTGTCCCTCTCTCGCCCATTTGTACCCCCTACTACAAACCTTTCAGTGCAAATAACACGAGCAGCAACCACGAACTGGACGTAGGGACATTTTGGTCGAACCAGTATAAACCTTGTGTCTTTTTAGCACACCATCTGGGCCAAACGCGCAATAAAACAAATTTACTAGTTGGTGTTTACTCGAAACACCGACAAGGCGGTTGGCCAACCGTCTCCGTTAAGGCCGGATTAACCGTGATCTTTGGACGGAGGCGGACGGCTTGCCCGCCTCGGTTAAGCTCTTTTGCCTGCCTCGGTTAAAAATACTGTAGTAGTGATAGTAAATCATGCTTATCTAGAGGGTTCCATGATAGAGAGCTACAATGTTGTAGAGAATGTTGAGTGTTGTCAAGAGTACTGAAAATATATGATAGGGATTAGCTCACTTAATTCTTGTTGAAGGGGCAGGCTGCACATGAAAGGCACTTGTGAAAATGAATTTGCATCGACAAGTATTTCAAAAGAGTGAACCAAGGACATTATAACATCCCTACAACAACTCAGAGATGATGGATTCGACAACGGGAACACTTGGATATGATTTGTGCATAAAGTAATGGCCGGCCACATAGAGAATTCGATCAGGACATAGGCACAAGCCTCGATTCACTGTATAGTTGAAGGAACTAAACCTAACAGATGGAGAAACCGAAGAGGATATGGCTATAGAAAAGGTTAGCTATAGGCCCACTAAACCGAGGATGGCAGTGGCTGCTCTCTCTTTGTTTGCCTCGTCGTTGTCGCCCACTCTCTCTACTTCACTCTCTCTCCCTTAAACTGTGGAGGCAGATCCAGCAGTGGCGCTCCTCCTATTGTGGTGCCTCTCCCGTGGCGGCGCCCCTCCAGCCATGGCCCAGATCTGCAAGGGTGGAGGTGGATCTACTGGTGGCAACCCTCCGGCTACGGTCCAAATCTGCAAGGGTGGAGGGGGATTTAGCGGTGGTGCCTCTCCGGTTGTGGCGACTCTCCGCTGGTGGAGGCAAATCTAGCAGTGGTGCCCCTCCAGATATGGTGCCCATCCAGGTGCAACATTCGAGCTATTGGCCTCCCACCCACTTTGGCAGCTACGCTTGGCCTCTCCCCCTCCAGCGGTGGCACCGTGACAAAGGGCACTGGTGGCAACCCCAGGAAGGCGAGCTCTGTGGTGGGCATGTTGGCGGGATCGACAACGGGTCTCTATTGTGAGCTCAGGGTGGGCAGCCCTTTTTTGTGTGTTTTTGATGCTTAACAGGGCTGGACATGCATGTCGCCTCTGTTACCCTCTAGTTTACAAAAATTGTAACCAAGAGGTGGGCGGACACCCTGCCTCTAACAATCGATTGTGCCCGCCCCTAATAGTATTATGTTGTAGTAGTGGCTAAGCAATCAATATAAACCAAATGCAAGAACTGTCACACATATTTCACATAGTATCCTCATCATTTAGAAATGAGAAAAAGTGTGGAATTACGTCAGAGATCCATACCATAAGCTATTTTCAATAATTTTTAGCTAATTTTGCTAACATTTTAAGGTGTGAACGCGAGCTATTATTTCTAGACTCAGTCAATGAGCAAAAAAAGTAGCCTTTTCACATTAAACCGTCTTCAAAAATTGAAATCTATTCCACTAGAATTTTAAGATGTGAACACAAGCTTATAGTTCATGGTCTGCCTTTCGATGTTGCTCAATATTGTTCCTCAAAAAAAAAGATGTTGTTCAATATTAGTGGTGTCACATATTAATGGCTCAGAAGAATAAAAGTCCGACAGTACAATATACAAATCTAAATTCGCGCAAGTGATTACGACACATACACAGTGGAATCCAACGGATGAGGGCAGTCATCAGAAGAGGTGATGCTAGATTCATCGACCCCTCCAACCTGTTGTTTGCACTCGTCACCAACCAGCAGGGAAGAAATGCGTCGCTCTTCTCGCTGACCAGATGAATATATAGTCAACCTATTCTCTGTGACAAGAATGGTTGACGCTGCATTATGCATACATGATACATCTCCTGGCCGGTTATATTTGTGGATGGGACTGTGGATGTCTGGAAACAACTTTGTTCGTTCCAGGGAACCTTCGGTCGTAAGAAAGATACAGGAAATGCATGCATGGGATTTTGACTTCCTTCCCTCCTGGCTCCTGAAGTCCTGACCATGACACCATCATCAGAAAGTTATAGGAAATGCAGTGTGACGCCGCATAACTGGAACAGACACTGATGCTTGACATGCCTAGCTAATAACACGCCTACAGCGCGAAAATTCATACAGACTGCTTCTCGTCAAAAGTCATACGATACAATAGATAAAACTCGTATCCAATTTTTCTTTGGTCAATCTACTTTTTTAAAGGAAAAAAAATCCTCTTGATAAAGAGTTTTCAGCCAACTCTCACAACCTACATATTCAGTTCTCTCTCTGAAGGTGCAAAGCATTGAGGCAAGCAAAGTTGTTAGACACCATGCCAATGGCAGCTCCTCTCCCGGTTTCCCTCCTCCTCATCGTCGTCGCCGCCGGCGCCGCGTCTGCAGGCTCGGCGGCCACTATATTCCCCAGAGAAGCCCTGCCTACCAAGTCTGGCTACCTCCCGATCCGCGTGGCCAACGCATCTCTGTACTACGCCTTCTACGAGGCCACAGACCCGGTGACCCCACCAGCGTCCACGCCGCTGCTCGTCTGGCTCGAGGGCGGCCCCGGCTTATCCTCGTTCGCCAGCAACTTCTTCCAGATCGGCCCCTACGTCTTCTCCTTGTCCGGCGACTCCAACACCTCCTCCTCCGCGTTCCCCTTGTCGCCCAACCCCTACGCGTGGAACCGCCGCTTCGGGCTCCTCTTCCTCGAGAGCCCGCTCGGCACGGGCTACAGCCCAGCGCCGTCCCCCTCCGCCATCCCCACGTCCCAGCCCGTCGTCGCGGAGCACGTCCTCGCCGCCCTCCAGTCCTTCCTCTCCGCACAGCCGGATGGCAGCACCTTACGCGCCCGCCCGCTCTTCCTCACCGGCGAGAGCTACGCCGGCAAGACCATCCCCACGGCCGGCGCGCTCATCCTGGCCACCAACCCCACGCTTCCCGAGCAGGAGCGGATCAACCTGCGCGGTGTGGCCATCGGCAACGGCTTCGTGCACCCCGTGGCGCAGGTGACCACGCACGCCGACGTCCTCTACTTCATGGGCCTCATCGGGGCGAACCAGAGGCGCGAGGCCGCAGCCATGCAGGCGGAGGCGGCGGCGCTGGCCGTCGCGGAGCGGTGGGACGAGGCGACGGACGCGTGGTACCGCGTGCTGTCGTGGCTGCGCAACGCCACGGGGCTCGCGTCGCTGTTCGACGTGGCGGTGGACACGTCGTCGCTGGAGGCCCTGCTCGCCCGCGCGGCCGAGTTCATGAACGACGCCGAGGTGAGGGCGGCGCTGGGCGTCCGTGGCGACGCGCCGTCGGAGCTCGTCAGCCCCGCGGTCGAGGCGGCGCTGCACGACGACGTGATGAAGAGCGCCAAGCGGGGCGTGGAGGCGCTGCTGCGGGGGCCGGCGGCGCCGTCGTCCACGCGTGTGCTCCTCTACGAGGGAATCCGTGACGCGCAGGTCGGGGTGGTGTCCGTGGAGGCGTGGCTGCGGGAGCTGCACTGGGACGGGCTCGCCGCGTTCCAGGACGCCCCCCGCGCCGTGTGGCGGCGAGGAGGAAGCGGCGCCAAACAGGAAGGGAGCAGGCTCGCTGGGTACGTGCAGAAGCATGGCGCCCTCGTGCACGTCGCCGTGTACGCGGCCGGGCACATGGTGCCGGCGGAGCAGGGGCGTGCGGCGCAGGAGATGATCGAGGACTGGGTGTTCAACAAGGGCCTGTTCAGCGGCGACGGCGTGGCGGCGTAAAGCTATTCGATGTGTCTTGTCGGCGAGGCAGGAAGTGTGCATCATAGACTATTGCACGTGCACGTTTGTTTAATCTGGTAATTTAATTCCATGCTTCTAATGTAAATAAAGATGTTCTATTTTTATAAATAAAACTCGGCGGGAATTCAAAACAAATAAGTCAATTTTAGTGGGAGTTTCATCTAAATTTTATTCTCATTTAATATTGTGACGCATCTGATTTGAGACTTGGCAGGTTAACTATGAATAGAGAGATACAGAAACTTTCATTTAAATGAAACTCTTTTGCCACGATTACAAACTCTATATGAGTCAAATTAAATGTCTATGAAATCGTAGAATAAAACTTTGCATTGAGAGCGGATGTTTGATTCATGTTTCATTTTATATGACATAGCAGTCTTGGAAACAATGTTACGAAACACTCCACTAAAACCGCCCTAATAATGCAAAAATTAATGATCGAGGTGTGTCGAAAGGCTGGGCAACTGCTCAGACCAGGCCCAGCCCAATTAGCACTTGAGGAGCTACATAAGAGGAGTTTAACCAAATAAAACCTCGTCACATGATCATAAATAGTTGTTGTTTATGTTAGTTCCAGTGTATATAAGGTCAGTCTTAACGATGTTTCGTAAGAGTTGTATGAGTATTAAATAAGCTAGTTGGTGTCATTGCATCCGCACCAGGAGATGCATGGTAACCAGTCGACCACTCTCATCAGAGAGAACACCACTAATTGGGCAACACCGAATAAAACTCATCAGAAGAATCTAGTACCACCTTGACCTCATCCGTTGGATTCCGCTGTATACGTGTCCTAATCAGTTGGTTGCGAAATTAGATTTGTATATCGTATGGGACTTGTATTCTCATGAGCCATTAAATACGTGACACCACTAATTGGGCAACACCGAAGGCCATACTATGAATTATAAACTTGCGTTCACACCTTCAAAATTTATGGAGTGTTTGGCTGGGTTCCTCCTCGGCTCTGGCACCCGCTTCTCCGGAGAAGCCCTGCCAAACGTTTTGCCGGAGGAACCATTTTAAGTGAAAAACAGAAGAGCCGGAGCCGTTTTAGAAGAGCCATAGCTCCGGCTCCTCCGAAGGAGCCCCTTAGGAGAAGACTTGCCAAATACCCTCTTACACTACTATAAAAATGATTTTTAGGAAACACACCTCTTTCATTTTCGAGAGGGGCAGAACTGTTACGTGTCTCATAAAATACCTGATGATTAGCGGAGATGGTAGTTTTATTTACGGAGACAATGTAAAATTGGATTTACAAAAGCGGGATAGGCTATTTTTGGAGGCGGACCTTTTAATAAGCCCATCTTAGAAAAAAGATCAGAGGCCGAATTAGCCTAGAAGGCCCGTTTATGTCTAGGTATATAAGTGTGAGTTAGGGTTTGGATCGGCACTCTGTCAGCTCTCTCTCTCTTCTCTCTCAAATGGGCACTATCCCAGCGTGAGTTAGGCCCGTTACTTATGTCCATGTATATATGTTTATGTCTTTCATAAGAATTTCTTAAATTTTCTTTTTTCTAATGCATTTCCTAAGGATTAACGTGGAGGCTTCGTGGAAGGCCTCCTATTAGTAATAAGATTAAGATAAGATGCAAATGCAATGGGTCTTGATGTGTGTGGGCGATGTGTGGTTGCTTCTTATGGGCAACATTGAGAAAGCCAAGACACAAAATAAATAACGTAAATATTCATCATACTGGAAAGACTTCCTACCAGGGAAACAAATGTTGACCTCTGCCAGCTGTTGTTTGCACTGCACTCACCATCCACGGAGACCATGTCGGGTTATCTAAGAGATGGAACCGTGGAAGACTGCAGGAAACTACTATACTACTTTGGGTCTGTTTGATATACCCTACTAAAATTCAACTAGCTAAAATTTTAATTTTAGCCAGCTAAAAGTTTCTCAGCTAAACTTTAGTTAGAGTGTTTGATGCTCCAGCTAATAGACTCAGCTAAATTTTAGCTGACTTTAGCTAAGTTGAAATAGCTAAACTCAGCTAAACTTTAGCTGTCTAACGGCTAAATTTAGCCAACTAAAATTTAGCTGGTGCGTTCAAACATGCCTTTTGTTATTGTGTGAGGGGATCGCACAGTTCGTAAGAAAAATGAAATTTGTACACCGTCATCAGAAAGGTCCACCGTTATCTGGTTCTGGTGACAAGAAACGAGCGCAGGAAACCCACGGGATTTGACTGGACCGTCGTCTTGACTTCCCATGATACACGCAAAATAATTGAGACCAGGACAGCTAGCTCTGTTGTTTGGTCACGTAGCCGAGCTTCGGAGATGATTTTTCAACCAACTCACAACCTATATATTCAGGGGGCTCTGTTGTGGCAGAGCTACAGGTCCAAGCATACAGACACAGCATTAGCCATTGGCCCATTAGGCAAGACGTGCGCACAATGGTAATGGCAATGGCAGCTCCTCTGCTGCTTTCCCTCGTCCTCGTCGTCCTCGCCAAACGCGAAGCAGAGGCGTGAAGCCGAGGCGATGCAGGCGGAGGCGATGGCGCTGACCGTCGCGGAGCCGTGGCGCGAGGCGGCGGACGCGCGCGGGCGCGTACTGTCGTGGCTGAGAAACGCCACAGGGCTGTCGTCTCTGTTCGACGTGGCGGTGGACACGCCCCTGGAGGCCCTGGCTGCCGGCGCCGAGGAGTTCATGAACAGCGCAGAGGTGCGGAAGGAGCTCGGCGCCCGGGGCGACGCGCCGTGGGTGCTGAACAGCCCGGCCGTGGAGGCGGCGCTGCACGACGACGAGATGAAGAGCGCCAAGCCGGCCGTGCAGGCGCTGCTGCGGGGGCCGGCATCCACGCGCGTGCTGGTCTATGAGGGCATCCGCGACGCGCAGGACGGGGTGGTGTCCGTGGAGGCGTGGCTGCGGGAGCTGGAGTGGGACGGGCTCGCCGCGTTCCAGGACGCGCCCCGCGCCGTGTGGCGTAGGAGAAGCGGCAGCGGCGGCGGGCAAGGACAGAAGCTCGCCGGGTACGTGCAGAAGCATGGGGCGCTCGTGCACGTCGCTGTGTACGAGGCCGGGCACTTGGTGCCGGCGGCGCAGCCGCGGGCGGCGCAGGAGATAATCGAGGACTGGGTGTTCGACAAAGGCCTGTTCGGCACGGCGAGCACATAGACTATCGCACGTGCACGTCATGTCATCTGATTATTTAATTTCATGATGTATATATGACAAAGAATTTTTTTTTCTGGATTATGTATAATAAATAAAGCTCAGCTATTAGTATTCAAATATAATAAATAGTGCTCCCTCCGTTCCGAATTACAAGACGCTTCAGCTTTTCTAGAGTAGTGGCATTTGCTATATATATATATATATATATATATATATATATATATATATATATATTATATGTCTACATACACGGCAAAAAAACAATGCATATAGAAAAAACAAATGTCTTATAGGGATGTATCAAAAAAATAATTATCACTTAACGGAGCTACATAAACACAAAAGGATACATTGTTCCTACTCCCGGGAGTAATTACTTTCATCTTCAATAAACAACAATGCGTATGTTTGTATACTCATTTATCATTTTGAGTATGTTTATATACTCATTTTAAGATACTCCAAATCTTACCACACGATTTTTTTTCAAAAGAACCCTTATTTTTAATATATTATTATAATACCATTATAGTAGTATATAAAATCAGTATAACAATATACTCTATGTATACTTGCATACTTGACTTATATACTGCCCTAGATGGTCTAGTATGATCATATACTTCGTTTACGTACTCTTGGTCGAGTCATAGACACCATAAATGTAAAGATATACATATAGGAGTAACTTCTCCCAGAAGTAGAAAATAATTTCCCAACAAAAAATAATATATCTATCTATACATAATACTAAAGAGGGCAAAATTTCTACCAACCTTAAATTTGCGTCCAATATAATCACCGGTGCTATGTCGCATTACCAGCGCTCTATCCGTGTCTTTTTTTTTCCGTTTCAGTCTCTGCTTTTTTTCCTTCTCTGGCTCGTACACGTTCCGTATCGTCCGTCGGGGTGTCTCCAGATGCGCTGCCCTGCTCGTGCACGGTGGTGTCCGTGACTGCCTATTCCGTGTTTTATTTTATTTTGTTTTTCTTTTCTAACGAAGGACCTATGCTTTTTCTTATATAAAGATAAAGAATAAATACAGTATTACGTTTGAAACTCTGACCCTTAATAAATAAATATTTCTATTACTAATTTGTTAGTTTTAATTAGAAATAAATTATTACTATAATATGAATCAGTCGATGGTCTAACTAATTAAATCGTAAACTGAAATCTTAAGCAAATTGTCATCCAATCTAATCAAAATAAATGTTTCTCCAAGCTATCAGCAACTCTCCACAAGTGCTGACATGTGGAAATCGCGACATGATGACGACCAACCCATGCCAACTTTAATAAGATATTAAAGTTACATATTTTTATATATGAATCCACAAAAAAAGTCGCTGAACTTTGATATGTAACTTTACCAACACATGGATACTTTGAAAACTAAAGTAATATTTTAGTGCCCTACCACGAAAGAAAAAATCCTATCAAGGTTATAATTTAATTCAATACAGAATTAATACAACGTTGTCATATTATTGCCATTATTAACTTATATTAATAAAATATAGTTTTTAAATTTTATAAGAAAGGATAATAAATAAATAAATAAATAAGTATTTAACGTTGTCATCCTTGTTTTCATTAACAGACCCATTCATTTATAATTGTTGCAACAACCATTCACAACATCAAGTCACCTATACAAATTAAGCTGTCGCGGCCGCTGCAGCTATGCAGCAAGCTAAAGCGAACAAGTCGAACATTTGACAACTTTTTTTCTCCCATTGCAACGCACGGATATATTTGCTAGTATATATATAATTTGTCCAAATTTTGGACAGATCTTTTTTTTTTGAACCTGCTCATTAGCACGTGTTTTGTTAAGAATGAAGAATTGCAAAATACAACTGGCTGCCACGAGACGAATGCACACACTGCACGTGAAAAGCATGCCACATGAGGTCCGCGAGTAACCAAAGTCAATTTAAAGCCGATTGTCGTGGCCACAATCCATACACGAGGAAGAGTATATGGTTCTGTCTTCATATGACATTTCATATCTTTGGAGAGCATGGTATGAAACATACATTGGAAATAGCCTTACAATGTAAGCTTAGTTTTTTTGTAAACTCTATCTTATTATCGTCATGGGTGAGAACATATTTTGTGCCACCTTCAGCTCATTCCACCACCTGCTGCCATGGATGGTAGCTGGAGCTCTGCATGCTAGGGCGATACCCTAGAACCCTAAACAATATACGGATTGGCTCCATGGTGACGAAAGTTCATTATTTATTAACGGTTTTCTCCCCATAGATATGGAGCAACTGTTCCTTAGAAAAGTAATAGAGAGAGAGATGTAAGTTAATCATATTAAGTCGTTTTTGTTCAGGATATTATGCGGGATTCAACTATATATTATGGTCACTCAAATCATGAATTTTACTTGACTGTGGTACAGTTTTTACTATTTTTCATAAGATCCCTTTTCTTCAATGTAGGTATGTTTGTGACCTTGACGCTGGAGCAGAGAGATAGTTTATGTAAAATATGAAAATCGCAGTTCTTGACAAAATGTTACAAGACACAAGAGTAATTCAGTCTTAAAAAGAAAGAGTAGGGCTCCCATGTAACACCCTAAAATTTGCATGATTTTAAAATAGGAGAAATGATTTAATTATGTATTTTGTGAGCATTTAAATTTAGAAAAATTAAAACTTTGTTAAAATTAAAACCAAATATAAGCTCTACATACATGTTTGTGCATTCATGCTGATGCATATTTATTTTGTGATGCATGGGTTTGATCAAAATTTGCAAAAGAATTTGAATTTGGATTTGAAAATTAAATTGAAAAAAGGGAATTTCTTCCTCTCCTTCTTCTTTTGGCCCGAGCGGCCTAGCTTTTCCTGCTCGGCCCATCTTCCCACTCCTCCCGCTCGGCCTTCTTTCCCGCCGTGCCTCCGCTCTTCTCCCGCAGTGGCCTACCAGGCAGACCAATCTCTCTCGTAGCGTCGCCCGCGCCGTTCCTCTCTCTGTTTCTCTCTCCCTCGCTAACAGGCTGGCCCCACTGGTCAGCGCCTTCTTCTCCGACGCCTCCTCCCTTGCCTTGAGTCCCAAGTTGCTCCCGCCCCATAAAAGCTGAGCCCGCACTGCGTCGCTCTCCTTGCCCCGTTCTAAGCAGCAGTCGCCGAATCACCGCGCTACAGCAAACCCTACCACCGCTGCCATCACCGCCCGCCTCACCGAGGGCCACGCCGCCTTCGTTCGCTCCGCACCACGGTAAACCACCTTGGTGAGTTTTCCCTCCCTTCCACTTTCTCCCGGTGCCCTTGGCTTGCTTCCCCCGTGGACCGTAGACCAGAATCCAAGAGTTCCAGCGAGCTTTCCCATCTCCAGCCATGGCGCCACCGCCGCCAAGCTCGCCACCGGCAGCTTTCCCCATTCCGATCTATTCTGAACCGTCCGTCGTCGATCCGACGGCTTAGATCGGTTGATACCAATTCGGCCGACCGTTTTGCAAAAGAGCCCCTAAAGTTTTCTAGTATAGAACCCGCCGTCCCTATCCATTTGCTAAAAGACCCTCAGCTTTTGAATAATCTAACCCGCAGTCCATGGCGCACTTCCAGAATACGTTCGTAGGGGACCGTGACACCTAAGAGGGGGGTGAATTAGGCAACTTAAAATTCTAACTCTAAACTATGGGCTCTTTTTCTAACCTTAGCAAAACATATGCAAAAGATAAACTATCTAAATGTGCAACTACGGTTTTGCTAGTGTGTTGCTATCTCTACCGCAAAAGGAGTAATACAATCAATGTAAATGTGGAAGCTAAAGAGCAAGGTAGAGATATGCAAACTCCCATCAACGACTCTGGTATTTTTACCGAGGTATCGAGAAGCGCGCAAGCTTCCCCTAGTCCTCGTTGGAGCCCGTCGCAAGGGCCAAGCTCCTGGTCGGGTGACTCCGTGGATAGCCTCGTGCCCTCCCCACGCGCAAGTGGGTCTCCGACGTGACTTCGGGCAAGCCTCACCCGGATGCTCCCCGCCGTCTTCACTATCAAGCTTCCGGCTGAAACACCATGGGCCTTGTTCCCTCCGGTACATGGTGGCGGCCACACCACAACCGCTGTTGGTGTGATCTCGCAAGACTACAAGCCCCTCCGATGTACAACAATGGTGCGCGCAAGCACCGAGTGATAAGAGATATGCAAACCTCACTAAACACTAGGCCTAAACCTAGAGCAAGCGCATAAGCGGTGGTCTAATCAACCTAAACACTTCGCAAAGCACCTACGCTAATCACCTAATGAATCACTAAGCGCTATGCAAGTGGAGATCACTAAAATGGTGTATCAACACCCTTGACATGTTTCCTTAGCTCCACACACTTCATTTGGCCGGTTGGGGTGGTGTATTTATAAGCCCCACTGAGAAAGCCATTAGGGACGAAATCCCGCTTTTCTGCTACTAACCGGACGCTGATCACGTCCTGTCCGGATGTGTCCGGTTGTCCCGACCATTAGAGCCACGATCAACTGATCGGACGCTGCCAGCGTCTGGTCACATGCCACCGGACACGTTCGGTGGCAATTTCGTCGCTCTGGAACCTTTCTGTACTCGATCGGACGCTGCAGTCTTGCGTTCGGTCGATTTGCCGCCAGCGTTCAATCGCTGTTGCTGACGCCTTCTGTTGTCGAGCCTCTTGATCAGAGCGTCTGGTCGCTATACGCCAGCATCCGGTCCAGCGTCCGGTCACCTTTGTGAGCTAGTTTCTTCGCGATCTTATGTCCGGCTTGGTTTCTATCTTCGTGCTTGGACTTTGCTTGAAATCTTGGGTCTTTTCTTGTGCTTCTAGGGTCTTGCTTATGGTGTTGATGATCGGATCATCACGTCACCTTCGTCCAAGTCACGTCTTGCACCCTATTGAACTACAAAACAATCACTTACAAATTCATTAGTCCAATTTGGTTGTGTTGGTCATTAAACACCAAAATCCAAAGTAAATGGGCCTAAGGTCCATTTCCCTTACAATCTCCCCCCTT